CCTGTTTCTAAAAATGGACTGTACCTGCACAATATTGATTAATCAAACAAACGGTTAACCACAGAGCCTGGAGGTGACTCAGATTTCGGTCCCTCGCAATCTGTAAATTGCTTAATTGACTTGCTTTCTTGAAAGAACCAAGGATATTGGCTTTGACAACATGGCTGGGCAGCTTGCTCCACACTCCTGCCACCCTCCGTGTAAAGAAAGGCCTCCTGCCCTGATTGGCGGATCTGAAAGAAGCCAGGGCAGGGGCTCCTACAACATGGCCGGGCAGGTTGTTCCCTGCTCCCGCCATCCTCTGTGTACAGAAGGGAGAAGAGGCCGTGACGTGTCTGTGTCTCCGCACAGGGGAACGCAAGTCTAAACCCTCCACCTCCCCGGTCCCGGAGCCTCAGAAGCAGAACAGCCCCCTGTTCCTGCTCATCGTCACTGGCCTCGCCAGCATCCTGACGGTGCTCGTCCTCACCAGTGTGTGTTTCGCTGTGCGTAAGAAATACCACAAGCTGGAGTAAGTGTGCGCCTTTGGTGGGTGGGTCTGACACAGCGGAACAGCCACAGTCATTGTCTAACAGCTGTATCCAAAACAGGGTCTCAGGCACAAGGCGGGATACGCCCTGGATGGGACGCCAGTCCATCACAGGGCAGACACACACATACACACACTCACACCAGGGCCACTCTTCCCAGAAGCCACCAGCATGTCTCTGGAGCGTGGGAGGAAACCTGGAGCACCTGGAGGAGACCCACGCGAACACGGGGAGAACATGCAAACTCCACCCAGACAGCACCCCTGTGAGGCAGCAGTACGAAACACTGCCTCACAGTACATCGTATCTTCATTTAATCCTGATCGTGACGATATGGAATGACCGTTTACCCGTACCAAATGAAAAAACACAGAAACACCCAAGGATAAAAGTACATGTTGGGTGTATATATACAGATGTATCGCCAAAAATGTTCAATGGATAAAGCATTTAAGTAGCCATCTTTCAAGCAGCACGTGTTGATGACATTTTCCACAGTGACGTTTTCCAGTTTATTGCAGTCCCCGCCTGTTAAACTCCTGCTGTGTTGGAAATCAGCTCTAGTTATGATTCTAGATCCTTTTTTATTTTTTCCAGTGTGGTGTCTTAACCGTGGTGTCCTCAATAATATTTATGACTCTTCTTGATTTGTTCCTCACCTGATTTGTGGATCGAAATCAGGGGAAGTTTGAGATGTAGGGCGTGTCTCAAACCAGCGTGACACGCCCCCCCGTTTTCAACAGTGACGTCGTCTGGGCGGGGCCAGTCGGTGCTCCAATCACAGACAAGGGATATGGCCACGCCCCCCCCTCCTTTTTCAACAGTGAAGTCGTCTGGGCGGGGCCAGTCGGTGCTCCAATCAGAGACAAGGGATATGGCCACGCCCCCCTCTGAGGTCATAACTGCTGCTTCTTCTGTCCAGTCAGGAGCAGGAGGTGGAGCTGCTGCCCATCCAATCGGCCGTGACGTACCGCAGGCAGGAGGAGGTCAGGCCAGCCCCCCAGCAGGAGGTCAACCGTGAGTCGAACTGGTCACAAAAATCACAACGCATTTTTTTTTATTCAAGCACAAATCACTGCAGGTAGGGCACGGACTCCACCGGCTCTGCGTGCAGCCACAGTTTCACACAATCGCACTAAAAAGAGGGGCTCACAGCTCCCATGATCCCGGAGGCGCTGCTTGTGACACCTCCCGCCTCTCTCCCTCCCTCCCTCCCCTGAGCAGCGCCGCCGCCGCGCGTGGGTCTGAGCCAGAGGCTGGCCGCCAGTCTGAAGGACGTGCTCGTGGACTGCTCCCGGCTGACCCTCGGGAAGGACCTCGGTGCAGGTCAGTGTGGCTCTGAAAGGCCAGCCGCCCTTCGCTGGCTCTTATAGGCGGCTGGAGGCTCCTCCCAGTCAGCTGACGGGAGCGACCGGCCAATGAGAGCAAGGCGGGCGGTAGCAGAGCTGAGTAACTCCGCCTCCCGGGCCGGACCAGGCGTTGGCGGGGGGTGTTGGGCTCCGCGCTCGGCTGCTAACAGGTCTGCGCGTGTCCCATGTGCAGGGGAGTTCGGCACCGTCTACAAGGGGGTCTTCAGTCCCAGGGAGGGGCCTGACCTCATCGTGGCCGTGAAGACGATGAAAGGTGGGTGTCGGGGGAGAAACAC